ACATATTCAAAATACTAGCAATAGCGATCTCTATATAATGTATGATTTTACATGTATGTTCTTTGTTATTATCAGATTTATTTTTTACAATAAAAATTATGTATTTATAAAAATTGATAAATAGGGGAAATCACTTCCTATTAATTTTAAAAGACCTATGGTGATGTAGTTTGCATATCCCCTGTTTCTCATGCTCATGTCTACATCAGTCTCCAAGAACACAGTCCCCACTTCTGCCTTTAGGACATTTCTTACCCCCACAGTTATTTACACACTAGATTTATTGGTGACTTTGGAATCAGAGTCACCAAGGATATGAGTATTTATTTACTTATTTATAGACTGAGTACATTTTTTTTAAATGTGCTAGCGTGCCAAAGGCATCATATCTTCAAGTTCTCTAAAAAACAAGAAAAGGTCCTACACACTCTAGCTTTTTTTCCCCCTTTTTTCTTTTCATTTTTAATTAAATTTATTGGGGTGACAGTGGTTAATAAGATTGTATAGGTTTCAAGAGTACATTTCTATACAATGTGATCTGTATGTTGCATTGTGTGCCCACCACCCAAAGCCAAATCATCTCCCATCACCATATTCAGTAATTTGTTCCTTTGCTACCCCACCCCCACCTCCTTTCCGTCTGGTAACCACCATACTGTTGTCTTTGTGTCTATGAGTTTTTGTTGTTTGTCTGGTTTGTTCACTTGTTCTTTCAGTTTTATATCCCACATATGAGTGAAACCTTATGGTATTTGACTCTGTCTAACTTATGTTGCTTAGCATGATATTTTCAAGATCCATTCATGTTGTCACAAGTATTTTATCTTTCCCTTTGCTTGAGTAGTAATCCATTGTATATATATACCACATCATTTTATTCAACCGTCTGTCAAAAAATACTTTTGTTGTTTCAATGCCTTGACCATCGTGAATAATGCTACAATGAACATGGGGGTGCATATGTCTTTGAAAACAAATGCTTTCAAGATTTTGGGTAGATATCCATAAGAAATTCTGTATCATATGGTAACTCTACACTTAATTTTTGAGAAATTGAACTGTTTTTCCACTGTGGCTATACCAGTTTACATTCAGCAGTGAGCAAAGCTTTCTTTTTCTCAACAACCTCAAAAACACTTGTTATTACTTGCCTTGTTGATAATAACCATTCTAACATATGGCTATTATGTGAGGTGGTATCTCATTGTAGTTTTGATTTGCATTTCCCTGATACCTAGTGAAGTTGAACATCTCTTCATATATCTGTTGGCCATTTATATGTGTTCTTAGGAGAAGCCAGTTAGAGAAAGACAAGTGTCACATGATCTCACTCATGTGTGGAATCTAATGAACTCAATCAACTGATGAACCATATAGATCCAGAGACATAGAAGCATGGAACAGAGTGATGATTCTCAGAGAGAAGGTAGGGGATAGGGGGAGGGCAGAGTGATAAACCAAAGAACTTATATGCATATATGCATAATCCATGGACACAGACAATAGCGTGATGAACCCTGAAGGGTGGGCAGAGCTGGAATAGAGGGGGTCAATGGGGAAAAAAAGAGCGACATCTATAATAGTTTCAATAATAAAGATAATTTTTTTTAAAAAAAGAAGACTGTTGTGCAGTATCTGATAGATATTCAAATGGCTAATTAATATCCAATAGTGCCCTAAAACTATGATCTTTAGGATATGTTTTCTACTGAACACAAATCTACCGTTAATGTATCACTTCACAGTGGCTGGAGTTTAAGCAAAAATACATAGCCACGTCAAATCCCTGTGCATTTTCCTGCATAATTAATTATTGGACGGCCCTGTTAAACCATGACATGGTAAAGACAGACTGTCACTTTCTGATTTATTTCTAAAATTTGGAGGATTTTTATCAATAATTGATTTGTGTAACCTCCTGCGCACTCACCTACTATCTCTCCCTTGGGGTTGTAAATAGACTTACCCGACAGGTGGATTGTGAACTACAATATTCCCTCTCCTGTTTCATATTGTTTTATCTACAGATAGATGTCACTCTGTTTAAATTCATGAAACAAATGCTCTGCCCCAAGTGGTGGGGTAGAGTTGGGTTTCTAGAACTGTCTATCTGAGAGATATGGCTAACTCCGGAGGTTCTTCTCAGGATGTTCAAAGCCACGTTTTAAATATTTCTATCTATAATAAAATTGGTATTTTAAAATCCCTTCACTTGCCTACTTTTTGTTCTCTTGGTGACTCAAAACTCAAGCAAGGAATAAGTGTGGGATTCCTTCAGATCCCACCATGCAAAAAGTGACACAGAGAGAACCAAACATGGTGTGCATATAATGCGGTATTACACATTGGGAGCAAAATGTGGCAATACACTTCAAAATTCTAATAGGTCAGTGGGTTTTACATCAGAAATTCCTCTTCTGATCATTTAAACAGAAAAAATCAATGATGTTTATTAAAAATGAGATTTTTAATATATAAATGTTAATGATGAACTATGGGAAGCTTTATTAGATAATGGCTTACACGTAAAAAGAGTACAATACAGAAAAATTGTGATACAAACATATATTTTTACCCAGGGAAAGTATGTACAGTTGTCGGATTAGATATTGTCTCTATACCACTTTCAAGAATTTTTGTTTTCATAGAAAATGCAGACAAAGCAATTTTGTTGTCTTTTGTTAACACTTTGTTATCTATGGGTTGAAGACTAGCCAGAAATCTTGTCATCATACAATTATTGTTCTGCACTTGGAATGTGGCTCTTAAAATTGTTGCATCTTATTGTCTCCAAGGACACTATTCCCACTGCTCCCTCTAGGTATTTTGCCAAAATTCAGTGCATATTAAAATCATTAGTCATGTTTGAACTTGGTCATAAGGGCCCATTACTATCCACACAGAGGGCCCCTGTACATCCATAGGAGTCTGAGGTTATAAAAGTCATCTTAATCTTCCTTCACTGTGTAAAAATCTTTTCCCAGAGAAAACAGAAATCAATTTTTTCAAAATCTTCTTTAAGAATTACCTTATATTTCTCAGACATTTAAAATACATGAATTTTATATCAGATTTCTGATATAAGAAATTGTTCCCTAGGTTTAAAGTGAAATAGAATCTTTAGTGAGAGTCTTTTGGCACTTTCTACTAGAAAACAAATTATCCATGAATGTGTATGTCTTCATAAAAGGAGCATTTGGGCACATGAACTGACCCCACTTATACTTTTACTTTGACCTTGGAACTACCAGGATTACACAGTCTACTGAAGCCAGGATTACCTTCCCTAAGAGTAAGTAGGTTTTTGTTTGGTAATTCAGTTTCTTTTGTCATTCAAATTTCTAGTTCTTTAGTCCTGGAAAATATGACTAATCTGCTTAAAATCTGAGATGCCAATATTGGGTGTCTCTGAAAAATGAAATAGTTATTTCTAATGTTAGTTTGTATTATAAAAAAGAAATCTGAAGGAATTATGTTCATTTGAAATATTTATTACCTGCATCACTAGAGAGGGGTCAGTACCTGCTTACTCTTTATCCTTAATGTTTGTAGCACTACCTGTCATATCATAGATTCTCAATAAATACCTTCTGAATGAATGCATGAGTATTTATAGCAACATTATATAGAATACATATTATCAGAAATGTTGTTATTAGAAATCAATGATTTCATTTTATTTGCAAATATTCCTTTAAATATAATAAATAGAAAATTCACTTGAATCAAAATGGTCTACTGGAACATTCACTTAAATTTTGGGATCACAAAAGTTAAGTATTGGAGATTGGAAAGGGAGGAGAGTTTAGGAATGGAACAATGCTCTGAGTTAAAATGACACAGTGAAGTATTGAGAGCTTATGAATTTTCTCAGTTTGGTTCAAAAGGTCAATTTCTATAGGACCTTATCTAAAAAGGTACCTGTTAGCAGCTAATTATTTATCCCTCTCAGCCTAGATTAGTGCTCCTTTTCTGCAGAGATGCCTGTAAACCATAGGTAATTTTTTGTCTCTAGCACTCTAATGCTGATATTTGTTACTGCCTTGATTGTAATAACTACCTTCAATTCACCAGACCTTAGGAAAACACACCTGTAGCTTTCCTATGGGGTAGAGATATTGCTAGAAATAAGTGAAGCCATTAATATACCAAACTAGTTAAATTTCTCATGGAAAATTCTTTTCTCTTTGAAATGCAGAGAAAACCAAAGACTTTCACTCTTTGCAGCTATTTACAAACGGAAATACCTGCCCATGTAATTAGTGTTAATGTGGGTTGAGAAAGAAATGTGAAGTACCTATTGCCTCATGTTCAAAATTGCAGTCTCTAAACTCTGCCCTTAGCATTTCTTCACAGGACATTGAACAGGTTATAAGAGGCACCAAAATTCACAAGCTTTATAAAGAATGCAGGAACTGTCCTAGTCATTGTTGCTCAGCGGTTAGAGTGAAGGGCCTGGGGTTTGATTCCTGGTGAAGGGGTGGTATCTGGGTTGCAGGTTCATCCCAGGCCTGAGACAGGGCACCTGCCAGAGGCAACCAATTCATGTGTCTCTCTCACTCACTTCCTACCCCTCCCTCACTTCCACTCTCTCTACAAATCAATGGAAAAAATATTCTATGATGAGTATTAACAAACAAACAAAAGGATGCAGAAAAAACAATAGTGTAGTGGTCACTGATTAGTGCCCTCACACATTAGCATAAGTATTACAGCAGGTTATAGGATGGGAGGGAGGAGGAGGAAGTGAAAGGAGAGAAAGCTTTAACTGACTACCTCCCAGGCACTTTGGTGAACTATAGCAATCAACAATCACAATGATTCCATGAGCTAAATATCATGGAGGAAACTGAGCCCGAAGAGAATAGGGAAATGAGAACTCCACAGTCTTATTCCAGAGAATAAAATACCTTTAAAACACATGTTAAAAAAATATGGCAAATATGATAGTCATTCTCTCATTATTTCCACAAACTTTTAAGGAACTCTTATTATGCCCTGGATATAAGCTTGCTGCTTGGGACAAAATAATGTCAAAATAAAATTTGTTTATATAGTTTGACAATTTAGTCATCAGAGAATAATAAAAAAATAATCACATTCTACAATGGGAATAGTAAGAAGAAATGATACATCAATCTTAAAAAGTTATAGATAGATTCCTCATGGAATTACCTAAACCAAAACTTAAAATAGGGATAGAGCAGTAAGAGACTACAAGTGTAGAGATCTGTAAAAACAAAAGGACCAGCAACTGAGAAATTCCACAGGTAATTTTAAGCATCGTCGTTAATGGAAACAGCTAGTAGATAAGCCTAGGGAAGCAAATTGAATCAGGAGAAATGACACCAGCAGCCCGACTCTATAGGTCATACTCTTAGTCACTATGATATACTGTCTCTTGCTTGTAGCCAATGCAAGTACCCGAGTAGGAAAAAACAAGAAATGAGGGAAATTTTGTGGACTGATAGCAGAAATATTAGAAAGTTCTCCATATGCTAACTAAGAAGCTTAAGTTTTATAATGAGGTCAAAAAAAGTGATTGAAAGAATTAAAATTAATGTTTCAGTTACAAAACTCCATTTCACTTTAAAAAAAGAAATATTTTTCCTTAACATGATATCAGTCTTCCCTTCCTACCAAATTCCACCACCTCACTCTAGTGAATCATCTTCATGCATTTGTGCTGCCCCCCTCAACCCAGGTTCAACTTGATTCTGGAACAATTACATCATTTCCATGTGATAAGAAGTAAAGATGTCAGTATCCATCCTCTGTTCTGGTCCTCAAACACCTATTCATGTGCATCACAGCCTTGGATCTTTTGTTTCCCTTGCCCATATTACTCTTAAGTTCTAGTAGTTCTCTGTATAAGTTATAAGACACTGATAGTGTTACTGTGGCAAATTGCAGTGCAGGAAAATTTGTGAAATATCTAAGGTTTGTCTTTAGTTTCATGTCACACAAGATAGGAGAACACCCTTTTGCTAATTCTATACCAATCTTAGAATGGGAAGACTATGTAAATTTCTAAGTCTTTATTTCATGTGTTCAAGGAGCAACTTAATTATTGTTCCCCTTAGATCTCTACAAGGAGAAGTAACTGCAGAAATCTATCTCATTTTTCTATCTTTCTGCTATTCCTGCTCCATGTTAGTGGAAGACAGTAAAGGTCCTCAAACATCGAGATCTTATTCAGAACCACTAAATTGTCTTACCTATTCCTCAACTCTCTTATCCCCTGATAAAGAAATTTTATAAATTCTCTAAGGATGAGAAATTTTGTTCTTACTCATTACTCTGAATAAAATATTTATTGCCTAGAATATTTCATCAACCTAAATGCTTGATGCATTTTAAACTCAAACCCAATAATGCATTCCTTTTTTTCCTCCTCTCAACTCTTACCTAAAGCCAACATTAATTAACGTCCATTTAACTGAGAGGTAGATCAAGAGTTTCAGAGAAATACATAGTATGGGGTAAATGTCAGTTCACAAATATTGTCCACAACACATAGGGGACAGTTAATCACATCTGGGCTTTAGAAAAATGATTCTGATTGCATTAATTTTAAAATACTGAAATGGAAAAGCAAAGATATATGTGAATCATATGTTAACATGTTTCTGCAATATTTCAGCTATGAGATAAAGACACTGAGGGTATAAGTAGTGTTGTGAGTGAGAGAATAAAAGGAACAAATTAAAAGATAACAGAAATAGCAGGACTTGCAGAAAACTGAATATCAGAGTAAAATAAAAGAACAATAAATATTGTTTTTAAACCAGACTTATTGTTGACAGGGAAGGGAACACAGTCATGAGTGCCACATTAACAATCTTTAAATATGCACATCTAGAGGACTCTCAATAGGAAATCATAAGATAACAAAATAAGAACGCCCAATACTGAATAGTAATGAATGGTCACCAAATTCCAGATGCAGTTGTACAAATTTTATCTATATTATCTAAATTTTTCATTATAACCTTAAGATGTACATATAATTTTATCTGAAGTTTTCACACTTACACACACAAATAAATGACACAAGATAAAGAAATTAATCAAATTGCTCAAGGACTTTCAGATTGAAAAAAGGAAAAGTGTAAGATCAAACCATCTAAGTCTGATCTAGATATCTAAGAATAAGTTGCAGTCAGAATACTGTAACATATTCCTGCAGATGTAAATGTAGGGATCATTGGCCCACTGAAATAACCTTATTTATTAGAACTTCCTACAGGGCAGAGTAAAAGAGATATTTCCTAGAAAAAAATATTTCAGATGCACCAACAAATTAGAAAAGGAAAAGGAGCTATGAAGGAGAATGGGAAAAAATAGACAAAATGATAGAAAGAAATTCAGGATAATGTGAGATGGTAGAAAGTAAGCTGTAAAGACTTTCATAAGTTCACGGTTTATATGCAGAAGAGAACTTGAGTTAAATCAAGTCTGAAGTTTGTTTAATTATTGAAACAAGAGGGAGGCTGGTGGTGATGTTGGCTAGAGCAGTTTAAATGATGCAAAGACCACATGAGTTGATGTATAAGTGGTTAATAAGACAGAGAAGAGGTAAAATTTAATAGAGAATGTTGAAGTATATTTAAGAAATTGTTAAGCCTTGTTAAACCTGATATTGCTAAATGATATTTATGATGGGTGGTAGTGTGTATTTCAAGCTGAAATAGGCTGACCCAAAACATTAAAAATTCAAGATATTGCTCTTCAGCTCTATACATATACTTCAAATGTTCCCTTATTTGTCTGTCACAAATTTTGAAGTAAATATATACAACGAGGAGTGAAAATATGTCATTGTCAAGCGGGTTTAGAAAGAAATAATTGAAAAAATAAATAAGAAAAAGTCAATATCAAAGCTCTGGTCTTAACTATAATGCCTTGATGGGAAAAGGGCTCTCAAAATCTAGAGGAAAATGAAACCATAGATGTACCACAGTTTTTTAATTTTCTCATCGGCTGATGGGCACTTAGGCTGTTTCTGAATCTTAGCTATTGTAAATCGTGCTGCTATGAACATAACGGTGCAAATATTCTTTCTTATTGGTGCTTCTGATTTCTTGGGATATATTCCTAGAAGTGGATTTACTGGGTCAAATGGGAGCTCCATGTTTAATTTTCTGAGGAAACAAAGCAGATAGTTAAAGGGCATTAGGGTTTTCCCTGTCAAAAGAATTTAAAAGGAAATTAATAACCAGAGTAGATAATTCCAGATTTCTGCTTGTAAGGGGGAGGGGGGGGATGATTTCTTTGTAGCACTAGGATATCCTAAAAAGCATAAAAATGTAAAACATAGATATTCTAACAGTAGAAGTAGAATATAGCCAAGGGTTAATATTAATGATATAAAATACATATATTTGATATAAAGTTTCTGTGAGGAAACCCTCAAAAAGATTGGATTGTAACAGGTTTCAATGAACCTTTAAGAACATGCATCCAATAAAAATGTTTTAAAAACACCTCAGAGAAACTCCACTGGATAAAATGAAACAGAATAAACTATGTGATAAGCATTCATTGTCAGTTTAATTGCTAATACACATGTAGATTTTAATGCAAGGATTTTCTTAGCAAAGGCCTGTGTTAGTTTTTTAAGGAACTTTTCTGGTAGAAGCATTTCTGGAGTTAGGAAGTAGGGTAAAGTCAGAATACTGGATCCAAAGCCACTTCTTGGAAGTAGGAAGAAGTTAGAATATTCCACACAAAAGCAATTTTTAGGACTTGCTTTCATTGATGTTTATAATATAACTAGAGGCCTGGTGCACGAATTTGTGCATGGGTGGGGTCTGGCCAAGGGTAGGGGCTGAGGGTGGTTGGCCAGCCGGCCCCACCCTCTGTTCAAACTCCTGGTTGAACTCCCAGTTGTACTCCAGGTCAAGAGAACAATTTGAATATTAGCCTTTTATTATATAGGATTTGTCAGACACCAATTAAATTTAAATTGTAATTAGAAGCAGCAGTGCGAATATGTGATTTAAATATAGCAGTCAGATTATGTGACACAAAGGGGTAATCAAACATTGGCATGTATGATATGCTTACTTCCCCACTGAGCTAGGAATGACTCTCCGATTTACTTCTCTTCACGTTATAAGATGACCTGGACTCTGGAGTTCCTCATATAAAGTCTTATTATTTGAAGCAGAATGGGCAAAATAATCAAGGATGAAAAACCAAACTACAGTAACAACCTTCATCTTGCTGGGACTGACCGATAACACTCCACTGAAAATATTGCTGTTTATCTTTCTATTTCTTTCCTACATGTTGAGTATATCTGGAAACCTAACCATCATCACCCTCACTCTGATTGATTCCCACCTAAAAACACCGATGTATCTCTTCCTTCAAAATTTCTCCTTCTTAGAAATTTCTTTCACAACTGCCTGTGTTCCCAGATTCCTATACAGCATATTATCTGGGGACAAGTCCATTACCTATAACGCTTGTGTCAGTCAACTCTTGTTTACTGACCTCTTTGCAGTAACGGAATTTTTTCTTCTGGCTGCCATGTCCTATGATCGCTACGTGGCCATCTGCAAACCCCTGCATTACACTACCATCATGAACAGCAGAGTCTGCAAGAACGTCATTTTCTCCTGTTGGGTAGCAGCACTGATCATCATTTTCCCACCAATCAGTCTGGGTCTGGGCCTGGAATTCTGCGATTCGAACGTCATTGATCATTTCCTCTGTGATGCATCTCCTATGCTGAAGATCTCTTGTTCAGACACCTGGTTGATAGAACAGATGGTTATCGTGTGTGCCTTGTTGACATTCATCATGACCCTCATATGTGTGGTTCTTTCCTACATTTATATCATCAGGACTATTCTAAGGTTTCCCTCTGCCCAGCAAAGGAAAAAGGCCTTTTCCACGTGTTCTTCCCACATGATTGTGGTTTCCATTACTTATGGAAGCTGCATCTTCATTTATGTCAAACCTTCAGCCAAGGATGAGGTAGCTATAAATAAAGGGATTTCACTCCTTATTACATCCATTTCACCCATGTTGAATCCCTTTATTTATACACTGAGAAACAAGCAAGTGAAACAAGCTTTCCATGACACAATTAAAAAGATTTCATTCCTCTTAAAGATGCGGAGAAAAAGGAGTCATTGAATCCAATTAAAAGAAAGGATAACTAGGCAGAAAACCCGAAGTTATAATATTATTTGTCTCTGCATGACCTATTCTCCAGTCATATCGACATTCTCACTTTGTTGTTAGACTTGCTTACAGTCAACGTTGACTATTTAATTTTTCACTCCCCATTAAAACTAAATTCTAAGTTATTTATGCTTACTATCTGGCAGAAATTTCTGTTTTTGCCAAATATTTTGGTTGCCATCCCTGGAAACACTGTAGGCCATATTTTTCTCACATATTTCTACCCTGTAAGATG